CTTGCCGCCCCACGCGAAAAGTTACGCCTCGTATGTGATATGCGTAATCCGCTAATCTCCTAAAATGCGCTTCTCTTTTATCAATAAAAACGTTTCGAAAGTTTTCTGGCTTATAGTTGAGCTATTAAAAAATGAGGCAACTTTTCGCGTTGATATAAATGATGAAATTCGTACTCAAACTAATTGCTCGAAATGCTAAGAGAGAAAATAAAAAAGATAGAGAGGGAGAGAGCTTTTCGTTTTTATACTGCTCTTTAAAAAAGTGTTACATCTAATCGTGTAGAAAGAAATTATTTATGTAGCTATGCGCGGTTTCAATCCAACAGCTAAATATACTATCTCTAAAAGAAGAAATTTCTTAAAATGTCTTTTCATGAGATAAACAGCTTTCAGCTTTTTTATCTAATAAAATTCATCACGTGAATGTATATGTAATTTATAATTGTGAATATTTACATCCATGATATATTATTTTCTCTCGTTCGTTAAAAGAAATGTTATATGTTCCAGCAATCTTACTGAATATTGTGTAAATATTGAGATTATTTCTTTTCGTTTCGTAACTGTGTGTTTTATCACAGGTTGCAACAATATAATTCATGCGTCATCGATCGTTCTTTACATTGACATTGCACAATAAATGCGCGAAAGATGTGAAACAATGAGCCATATCGAATGAAAGCAAGTGTTCTCGTAAAGAATAATTAACGCGACACGTGCAATCGACAAGCGGCGTATTGTACAGCGGTGGTACCAATGCTGTAACGATTATTAAAAGCTCCAAACTAACAACACACGAGTTTTATCGTTATAATGATGATTAATGTGCTTCGCGAAATTTTCGACACTGTCGAAATGCCGTTACAAGCCAGTTAGTTTGCTTATCGATTTGTAGCTCGCTATCGAACGCGCTAAAATAAATTTTCTTATATCGATTTAATTGTATCGTTTATTTAACACACTTGTAATTTTTGACTGAGAAATTTATTTATACATTTGGTACCGAATAATCCGTCTTATCAATTAGGTCAGAGAGAAACTTGGTCCTAAGGGATTCTTGCAGTGATCGTCGCTTTTAATGAATCCGATTTAGGGCGCTGAGAGACTCAATTAGACTATCCCCAAAGAGATTCAAATGACCACGACTCTCTGAGATTCGAAACAACCGCAAGGGTCAATTGCATAATCTGACATTGTAGCAGCTTGGTCTATGGTATTCGCCCATCAACTCGTATCAAGGGACATTATTCTTAGAGGAAGACACGAGCGACAAAATCTAATTTCCTTATTTTCGCCGTAAACATTCTCGGTTCGAGAAAATTATTCGCTTAAATCGGTCTTCGTCCGTCTTCTAATTGATCGTGAACGGGTTGTTGTTGAGAAGTTTAATTGCAGGGACGCTGTACCGAGACTCGCGAGGAAACGTGCGAAATTGAATTTTACAGAGTGTCCAAGGGGTCAACTGCATTCTCTCTCCGTATTTTGGCCCTTCGGTCCTCCGCGACCCGGGCGAGAAACGAAAAAGGAAGAAACGAAAGTGCCGGGCGAACCTCTAATTTAATAGAAAACCGCGATAATTACGGCAATTGGTTACGAATAAACGTGCACTGCATGAGACAACAAACGACTACGGTTGGCCGGGTCATTAGCAGCGCATCTATTCTCGCAACAATGTCTGTTTCCCTAGCAGCGAGCACTATGTCGCGTATTATTAATGAACGTGTACGTCAGCCTTTCCAGTCAAATCAAAGACAATTTTCCGTAGTTGGATTAACTGCTCCCTTAGATTAGGTGTACATATATGTGTGTTTGTGTGAGTAGGTGTATGAATATGTAAGAGAGAGAGAGAGAGAGAGAGAGAGAGAGAGAGAGAGAGAGAGAGAGAGAGAGAGAGAGAGAGAGAGAGAGATCTATGATATCACAATTAACGTTAGACTAGGAATATTCATTTGTCAAATTTGAAATGGCTTTAAGCAATTATATACACATATATAGAGCAAATTGACATACATGTGCAATAATCGATATGTAATAAATATCTTTCCAAGAATATTATATTATAAAATTTTTCGAATCAAGAGATTGAACACATTATTGATAACATTGATTTAACATATTATTTAATAATTATAATTCTTGCTACACACGTTTGTTACATATAATTGTGAGCATTATTATATTTATTATTGGAAAATATCAGGTTTACTCAATTTACTAATCATTTCGATTAAACTTATCCTCTGTTTGCAATAGTCTAATATTTACACATCTCTTGCAGTTCTATGTTTAATATATAATTTGCATAGTAGATAATATATGTTTGTAATATATGTTATATCGAGCTTCACAAATTACAACCGTTGAACCTTCAGTATATTGCTTTTCATGTAAGAGGTCAGATTATAATTGAGATTCCGGAATATAACATACGTCTCGATATGAATATTACGAATTGGCCTGCGAATAATGTTGAATTATGATCTCTCTAGTATTTGGACCCCTCTCGATGATGACAATTTAATATAAAAGACAAAAAAAATAATGTTAATAATACATCTTTTATATATTTGTAATAACAATTGAATGAAACATGCAAAATATGTATTAATTTATGTTTATGAATAAAATAAGGATAGATAATCGTTTCCATTTTTCTCACAAATCACTTTGATTTACACATACATTATGTGCTTTTCCAAGTCATGTGCGCTTTGAATTATGTGGGGATCGTTTCCGGTTTAGGAGATATATGGCGCTTCAAAGTATAATAATTTTCACCATCTGTAGAAACTTATTGTTCTCGTACGCGCATATTTTCCAACAAGATTAAAATTATACATTCAATAGTAAATCTATAGAGATTTGTAAAAACGTATTGAATTTTATTTTATTTATTCTCAAGTATAAGCTGAACTAACATTAATCACAGAGCATGTAAATATTTGCAATAATTTATTTGCAGTGGTATATGAAGTAATAAGGACAAAATTAATTCAATAATCATATGTAAGGTATAATAATTATACTTTAAAAATTATATGTAAGGTAAAATAATTATGCTTTAAAGCGTCACATCTTTGAAATCAAAAGCAATGTACATAATTCAAAATCCATGCAATTCCATACTTTATTACATATGTAAAAAAATCATAATGATCCATGAGATATAAATTTTATTTAGATAATTATCCAAAGAGAGGTGATAATTATGATAATAATTTTCTATTTCATTTTACAACAATTTTATAATTTAATTCTACAAAAGAAATTACACGAGAAATTAGGAATTACAATCGCAATTATGATCGCGATAATCGAATCAGCTGACAGATATAATATGTATATAATATGTATGTATGTGTGCGTGTGTGTGATAATTTTATATTTGAGAAATTCACGTGCGGATTTAATTAATTTCTAGAGAAATTATTTCGTTTATTATTTTATAAAATTTTTAATTATCCAGAGATACATGTATCATTTTTGTACGAGTTAATATGAAACAATCCGAGTTATATTGTATACAAGAGCACGTGTATGTACATTACGCGTCTATGTAATGTTTATGCGCTGCTTATTGCAATGGATATATTTTTCATGTTTTGTTATTAGAATAATTACATGTTAACAAATTGCAAACGAGGATTTTAATTGCAGGCGATACGCAGAATACGAGATGTGTATGTTATCCTCATTTTCAATGCGTAGAGATAAGCTATATACTCGTGTAATTATTAAAGTGCAATAATACATGAATTACATGTATTTCCCACATACACACAGTTTGGAAAATATGAAAATAAATTACTCTTGTGCGAAATATTTTCAAGTCGCATAAAAATGTTTGAAAACGCGTTTCATACAATGTGCAATAAAATGCAAAACGTTTTTTTAAACTATTAGAGATAACGATAAAATTTCTTTTGTTTTAAAATATATTGTTGTTTTTTGTGGAAAAAAATGAACAGATTATACTGTCAACTCTGTAAAGAGGAGAAAGGAATCTATTTCACACATTTTTCTGAACACACATGCATGGAATCTATTTCACACATTTTTCTGAACATCACATACATGTATTGCTTAAATTGATCTTTGCCATTATTTTTAACTAGCGATAAGATCGAAAAGTGAAAATGAGATATTTGACATTTTACGTATGACACGTTACTCGAGATTTTCAAGAAGAAAAAATTTGTTTGAAGAATTAGAAATTATTCTATTTAAAATGATCGCAAGATTTGTTTTAAATAGAATAATTTTTAATTCTAAGCTCGTCATTTTCAATATATGAGAAAAGTCATAACAAGGTAAATGTACTGGAAAGTGTATTCAGAATGATAAAATTTTAGCTTAAAAAAATAATTCATTTACATAGAAGAATAGATTAATAATTTATATTAAAATTTTAATTATTGGAAGATTAATTATTTATTTTTAGAACGAGAAATAAAAATAATTAAAATTATTTAAAAAAACATATGTTAAAGTATACTAATTAAAATAATTATTAAAATTATAATATTTATAATGTAAATGAATAATATAAAATTAATTTGGGAAAGTAAATTTAAATAATTGTACCTTCCAGTATCAGGATTAATTAAATAAAAATTTTAAATTTTAAATAATCTCGAAAAAAAAAGAGTTAAGTAATTTATAAAAATTAATGTAATAAAATTATTTTGAATAATTATTTAGAGAAGATGTTTTAATTAATTAGTTTGATAAAAATAATAAAAAGTATACGATGCCCGCGCTGTGTAAATTTGAGAGTGTCTAGTTCGAGAGAAGAAATACAATATCGCTCTTTGTGTTTTCCCTTTGTAGGTCGAGAAGAAACCGGGCTCGACGCGCGGTCGCGCGCTCCTGGACGAAGATCAACAAGTAGCACCGAGCGTGGTGGGGGTGCGCTCTGTTTGTGCAGTTGGAGGGGGGGATGGAGAGCGAGGCCGAGCGGGTGGGGGAACGCACGGCGCGGTACAGTGTTGCACGGAGGGGGAGGATTCCTGGCGGGCGGGAAGGGAAACGACGCGTTCCCGTAGGTGGCCTTAGTCAGTCGGTTAGACGCGTTTGCACGGCGTCGGTCTTCTTCGACGTATCTGACGGACGAGTGTTGGCCGGGACGCGTTCGCGGCCGAGAGTCGCGCGAGTGTGACCGGGTGTGTTGAATTGCGTCTTACTCGATTTTTCACGGAGCAGAGGAGAGCGATAAGACAAGGCACGATGAGAGTCGCGTGTGCAGGTGGTGTATGAGTGAGCGTTGAAACTGATTGCGCGCAACCGCCGAAAAGGACACCGGCCCAACGAAGAGGACGATAAAGACGACGTGGTGTGAGAAGCTTCTCGAAGCGAGATTCCTGGAAGAGTGCAGGGGGAGGCGAGACTGTCGACGATGACGGGGAAGTGTATCGCGCGAGAACTCTCGAGGAACCTGCGGTTTTTTCCCGCGCTACCTGTCTTCGTCATCTGCGAATTGCTACTCTGCGGAACTCTGGGTGAGTAAGGCATATCTTCCCGAGGTTACACGCGTTCGTTACAAGACGCGTCCATGTGTCTCGTCCGTGTTCAAAATCCGTGCTCGTGCGCATGCGCGAGCACGGCACGCGTGCGTGTTGGTGCATCGAAGGACGAGATCGCGAAGGTAAAGGAGGAAAAGGAGGGGGGGGGGATGTTTCGCTCGCAGCAGGGCCTCAGGCCTGGGACTTATTTACGAGACGCGATTCATTGAAACAGAGTCACGCATTCTCGCGAACCTGCGGTCGCGTTCTCGTCGTTAGACGACGACGTTCTCGGGACGAAAGAGAGGTAAAACGTCCTACGAGGAAACCTGGCGGTGTTAACTGCGAACGCCACGTTCTCGTGAGAATAACATGGACGCCATTGACGCTCATGGTATGCGCAAGAGCATATCATCGGTGTTCGGTTTAAAGCAACAAAAGCGGCTATTCGACACGTAAACGGATAAATAAAAGTTGAATAACGGATAAATAAAAGTTGAATAACGAATAATGGCGAAATGCGAGATAAACGCGAACCAATGAGAAATTTAGCTAGATTAGTAATCGAATAGTAATTGAAATTTGTTTCATTTGTATTATCGATTATACGATATTTATGCAGTTTTAGCGCATCTCTGCAATTATATTATAACGGAACGGTAATAAATAATCTTTTATGGGACACATATAAATATTTAATACCGATATAATATGTTTTGGCTAATTCAAAATATCTTTAAATAATTTAAAATGAATCTCTTTTATTTTATCGAATCATATAGGTGATTAATTATAAGCGATTAACTTTGTTTTAACTCTGCAGTTTGGTTAGCTTATTGATTTTAGCATTATATTTACTTTAGCTTAATATTTAACTTAATCACGTTAAATCTTTATTTAGGAGGACCCTATTATTTGATTTAAAAATGTAAAATAAATCGTTCGAAAAAGCATCTCTTATACACTTTAATCACGAATTGAAAGGTTATGCTTGTTATTTCAAAAACTTGAGTGATTTTTAAAAGCTCGATTGAAATTGAATTAATTGATATAAATTTTTATTTTCGAGCGATAATCGATCGCAATAGCAAATTTCCACGAATGGTTAATGACTCTACAATGCTTACGTAATCGTATACGATGCGAAATTAATGTTTAACCCAGATATTTTTTCAACATACGCTACATAGATTTAAAATAGTTTCTGTTATAATAATAAATTCCATTAATTCCGTTATAATAAGCGTGTTTCGCATTTCAATTTATTTCTGCCATTTTGGTTTGAATCGCTTCGCAATTTTGTTAATCAAGATGCGCGACTCACATCTTGTAAACGATGTGCACGGGAGCAGAGAAGTAGGAAAATTGCTAGAAAAATCAAGTCTTGTTAGGATACAAGCTAGATAAAAAGTATCAGAAAAAAAAAGTCGCTCGCCAGGCGATTTGCGCTAAAAGAAGATGCACTCGAGTGAATAACGTTGTTTCGATCGCACGTGACGTTAGAAAAATATAGGTTTACGAAATTTTTCTCGTCACGATTCCAAAGAAACGATCGATGGACATTAAACGGCAGTTATTAATTTCGGTTCCGCAATTAGAATTGTTAATTTGTTTGTCTCGAGAATTGGACAGAAAAAATTGACTTACCGCTGCTTGATATAAAAATAATAATTCTAAATATTTCTGAATCGCGTAATTTTTTTTACGATAATAAAATTCGATTGTCATAAATACCGGCTGTCTTCAAAAACATTTTGCAATTATTTTTAATCGCGATAAGCTCGTTTCAAATCTATCGAGCAGAAAAATTGGTTTTTATTAATTTTTTATATCGCGAATAAAGCTTTTTATATTTCTCTTTTGTGATTAAAAAATTATATAATTTTTTTACAATAATTTAATTGCATAATATATTTAGCTCAACGTAGAAATGTTATTTCCATAAATTTTTTGTTTTATATATATATATATATATATATATATATATATATATATATAATTCATTATGAAATATTGCATATTTATAATTGGAGTGTAATATACACATTTTGCTCCGGGCTACACGCTTTCGAAACAAAAAGTTGTGAAACTAAAATAAAAACAAATTTAAAAATTAATTTAGATATTGGAGAAATTAAATTCATTTTTTAAAGATTATTTAAAACAGAGGGGGTGCCAATTATAAATAAAATGTCAAAATTTATTTTTAAATTTAGACAAAAGTATATTATAATTAATCGTCGGATAAAAATATTACCGAGTTGCAAAGATCTCTTACGCGTTATAGAATTAGACGAGTCCTGTGGCTTGATAAAAATATCAAACGAGAGCGAATTGGGATAAAATTGACTTTGCTTTGACTTTAGCTGTAAATAAGGAACACAAGCACAAAGGAATTATATACAGAGAGTTCCTCTCGAGACACTTTCTCAGTGTCTCTCTTGATTTAACGAGATGGTTTACCGCCGTATTAGGTGACACGATACGCGCGACTTATCGCGAGGGGAAGCGAAGAAAGGAGTTACTCAGCTGTAGGTGTGTCGTCTTTCCCTCGTTGAAATTCTCCAACGCGGAATTAGTTTAACTGACACGCCTAATACCCGCGATGTTTGCCGACAGAACATGGCATATTGATGCGAGTCGCGATAAACCCGATGAATTACAACGCGTATATAAGACGATTCCAGACTGTCAACTAACAAACTGCGGGAGTCTAATGAAAATGATCCGAGCTTAAAATTTTTTGCGGCATAATTGAGTAACTTTCGGATGTGTAAATACATCTGTCATCGGATCTCTTTTGAAGCAATTTGTACACAAGAGAGTTACCAAAGGGTCTATTAACACTTCTAATAAAATTAAGGTTAAAAAATGCCACGAGCGTGATATTTTGGCATCTCTTTGTATGCCGACGGGATTTGTAAGACGGAAGTTGCAAGACTAATAACGTGGTGACCGTTTCTGTTTGCTGCATAATAACTTGAAACATTCTTTCACGTCCCTTCTCTTCTACATGAAAGTCGTATCGCAAATAATGTATGAAAGATATCGTGCGGCACGAAAAGAATAAAGAACCGCCTTCTAAAGATATTAAAAACTGCATTTTTAAAGCGTTTTTAATAGGAAACGTTGAACACTAATGTTGGTAAATTTTACGTCTCTTTTCGTGAAAACTTGCTCACGAAATCTCATTGTACCTCAAACACAAAGGATTAATAAAAGGTCGGAGAGGTCACGAGGCTCGCGCATAAGGGTCGGTCGAAGAAACGAGGAACGCATCGATCTCTTCCGTATCGCGAATATTACAAGTCGATTTGAATCTTCTCGGCGAGTCTGCCGGGTGAAAATTTTTGACGGGAGCGATTGGCAATTTGATAATTGTATAAAAGTTACGATGTGCCAGTTCGTAAAGGCGAGCGAAATGCCTTTTTTTTCAACCGGAGACTGCTGGAAGACATCGTAAACGATTTGAAGTCGGGCGTTCACGTTAGCGAAGAGTAACGAAGAAGAGTTCTCGAGGCCCCGGGTTCTCTTGTACTCTGCGTGTTGCGGTTTTATTACCTCCGTACCTGCGGTTGTATCCGCGCCGTAATCCTTGAAAGGTATTCCGGTTGTCTTTGTCTTCATATGCGTGACTTGGCGTTTCGCGGTAGCATCCTACCGGAAAATAAAGCGCGTTACACACAGGGTCTCCCGGATCATTTTTCATACGTGAATCTTTGCGCAATGTGTCGATGTTTTCGTTATCGGAAATAAAACGGCAGAGTACTTTTATCGAGACGAGTTTTTTTCATTTTTCAACATTAAGGATGCTTTGTACCTATTTTTAAAATATTGAGAATTTAATGAAAATTGTACAGAATGTCCTTACATATGTTTAGAATCTTCAGTACAATTTTTAAAACGATTCACTAAAGTTACACTGTAAAAAATTTTGATGTAAATTTACAACTATTATAGTGGGGTGATATTGAGACCAACTATTAAAGGTGTATATTTACATACATTAGGAAATTTACATTTCATAGGTAAAATTATTATCTTAAATATCATCTTAAATAATAAGTAAGCATCTTGTACTAATAAATTTACATGTTAGAAGTAGATTTCTAGAAATGTTTATGTAATAATACATTTTGTATATGTATTTATACAATTTCACATATTAAATTTAATTTAAAATTTACATAAATAATTAGTGTACCAATTACGCTATTTATAACGAAAATATATAAATTCATGTACTTTTACAAAAATTAATTATTTTACTCTTTATTGTGTAAATATTCGTTTATTAAGTGTAATTTCTCATCAAATATAAACGAATATTTACACAATAAAGAGTAAAAAAACTAATTTTTGTAAAAGTACATGAATTTATATATTTCCGTTATAAATAGCGTAATTGTTACACTGATTATATGTGTAATTTTACATAATTTTTTTACAGTGTATAAGGATTTTAATCTGCACCAAATTAACATGTGTTTTTATGAGAAACGTACAACCATGATTCCATCGATTCAAATGACAAAAACACATGGAAATATTCAGAATTTGTTTAAAATTTAAAAAAGTTTAGATACAGAGGAAATATTTGGTCAAGTAATATTATACAAGTACTAACTGGTTAAAAAGATATTAAATATAATTTGATGAAATTAGCCATGTATCGGAATATTTCAGTAAAAACGCAATAAATATTAAAAAATACATCTCTGCACTGTAGCTAAGATCAAATTGTAATACTCCATACAATTTCTTCAATTCAGTTTCCATTCAATTCAATACTCAAAATACACCAAAAGTGGATATTCGTCAATATTGATTTTCAGCTACTTTTTGCTGGGATTGTACATACAAAACCTTCTCCTTATCTTTGCGATCGATATTTTCGTGCAAATCTGTTAGTGTTTGATGAAACTTTATTTCATAATTTTTTGAAATGCATTTTCTTAAAAGTAATTTTTATTCAAGAGAAATCAATGCGTTATCGC